GACATTTGCAGCGTTTTCTCTCGGTATAAGAGCGCTGGTGAGCTAATGGGGAGGGGGGGGGGGGGGGGCAGGGAGAGGGAGCACTTTGCCAAGGACAACAGGAAGTCTTGGAGTGTGGAGACTGTGGTCATTAATCCGCCGTGATACCTGGACTCTGCCAGAGCTGTGCCAAAGAAAACAGAGCAGGAGAAGGAACATTCCCAGCAAGCAGCAGGGGAAAACAAATTAATTTCTGTCCTCAAAGTCATCATGTGCATTAGTGAGGGGTAATTAGATGTGTGCTGAAGTTGCCATTTTCCTCTCCTGCTTAAAGAGGACATTGGTACCTGGTGGGGGGGGGGGGGGTTTAAAGGCACCGTGTGTGTGGAGGTTCTCTCCTGGACTCCATAGACGCACATTCTGTCTTTCTACAGGTCCCTGCCCTTCTGAGGTCGCTCTCGCCACGCTGTCATCATGAATGTGTGATGTTCTGAGAGCTGTTCTACAGGGGAAAAAATGGAGTGGCTGAATATGAAGAGCAAATTTCCAAAACGTTTTTGAGAAGATTTATTGGAGATCATATTAGCCCCCGGGTACCCTTCACACACCACACTGAGCATGTTCCTGCCGCACCAGCAGGAGATGGGGAATTTTTCAAAATTTAATGAAAGTTCTTCGTTGGATTACAGGAGGAATGAGTGAGTTGTGGTTCCCAAAACTGTGAGATATGCCCTCTGAGCTGAGCAGGTATATATGTGGCAGGTAATCGCGTCGTGTGCCCTCTGAACTGAGCAGGTATATATGTGGCAGGTAATCGCGTCGTGTGCCCTCTGAACTGAGCAGGTATATATGTGGCAGGGAATCGCGTCGTGTGCCCTCTGAGCTGAGCAGTGAGCGAGACCAGCTCTGCTCCGCACCTGTAATTATGCCGGCTGAGCGTCTTAGTTATGCTGGTTCCTCATTTCCCCTTGGATGCATATTTTGAGTTTTCCCCTGGAGATCGTCTCTGGAATATTTTCTTCAACAACCCCGCACTTGTTGCTTGAATGTTCACAAGCACGACAGACGGAGGCCGTCCCACACTGGGCTCGTCCCGCAAACCCCTCAGTAACTGAGTAAGACGCCGGTGACGCCCCGCCCCGTTCAGCCAGCTGGCCCGTCACTGCCTGCTCTGCCCTCAAAGGACGCTCTGTTGCTTTATAGCTATAAGATCTAGTGTAGCACCTCTGCAAACGTCATTGGCTGTCTCAGTTTCTCCTCCTCGTTTTATCTCACTCCATCCTCTGCTCTGCCTGTGAAATGCTTCTGTGTGACCCATGGGCGGACCCTGGCAAAGAGCGAGAAGGGCAATTGCCCAGGGCGGCATCTTCTGAGGGGGACGTAGCAAATCTCTGGCACTATCGTCACCCTGCCTGACTTGTCAGTGTCTGTGACAAAGGGACATTGAGCGCTGAAGCTCGCTGAGGCTCTGCGCGGGCTTTGACCGTGAGGGGAAGAGCAGTCAGAATGGCGAGGGGAGATGTCCAAGCCGTCATCGGTAAACAAGCCCGTTATTTACTGGTTAATTTGCAGCCCCTATGATGCCGGCACTTTCCGTGAAGCCAGGGCTGTGATTCCCCCTCTCTCCCCTCCTCTGTCGCGCTCCTCGCTCCCCTGAACGTCTATCACTTGCACAGCATCGCTTGCACACGTGCATCACGCTTGGCTTAGCACACACACATAAACACGGGGGTGGTTCGCAGCTCTTTGTGGCCTATATCTGTGCGCAAGTGTGTGTGTGTGTGTGTGTGTGTGTGTGCGCGCACATGTGTGTGTGTCATTATCCAGGAGCCGCTCTCCCCACACCCTGCCAGGATCGGTGGCTGTAATTGATGGCTTTGTCACGTTGCCCTAACTGCCTGTAACATCTTGCCACGGTCTCGGGCCCCCAAGGCACAGCGAGGGCCCCTGCTGACCGCTAAGTGACTTTCGTCATGATCATGGGGCCCCAGAGTGGGGTCGGGTTTCAGTGTCATGATGGGGTTATGCCCCCCCACCTCGCTTCATCCTCTCAGCTGCCCCCCCCCCCCCACACACACACACACACACAGGGTTGGCCCCCCTGGATCCCATTAGCCTGTTACAGCGCAGTAAATGTCACCTGAGTTAGGGCCCAGGAGCCCATGTGCTTGGCTGCGGTTCATCAGCCCACTGAATGGCCACAGATGCTCTCCCGTTACCCAGCATTCCTCTCTCCCTCACTCTCTCCTCCATCTCTCCATCATCCTGAGTCCATTTGCGCCATCCTCTTCCTCATAATGAGCATCCTCGTTCTCTCTTTAACCATCCTCTTCCTCTCATTAACCATCTTCTTCCTCGTAATAACCATCCTCTTCCTTGTAATAACCATCCTCTTCCTCTCATTAACCTTCCTCGTAATAACCATCCTCTTCCTCTCTTTAACCATCCTCTTCCTCTTTCTCCCATCACATCAGTTTCTGGATTTCACAGGAAGAGCGATAAGTTCAGCAATTCCAAGGGGGGTTTACTGTCAGGATTAAGCCTGAATCTGAGTGATCCCCCCAAAGCCTTAAACTTAATCACCTAATGAAAGTCATCTGGGGGTGACCTCTGCGGGCGGCGTGAGGGGTGGGGGGCGTGATTTGTTTCAGCTGAGCCCCTGCCTGCACTGCTTTGCATGGGACCCCCCCTTCGTGAGAGCTGGACAATAAAGCCCAGAGAACTGCACCGTAAGGGGCTGCATCATGGACCTGCATCAAGTCGGGGTACAGGCAAGACCGGCGGGGGGGCGAGGAGGGGGGGGGCTCTGAATGCGGCGCTGACAAGATGATTTATTCCCAGCTCCCGGTAACCCAAACACCCCCCTGCTCTCCTCTCACTTTCGCACTCTCCATGGTCCCCCGCCCCAATACACACACACACACACACACACACACACACACACACACTAGCTACCCCACTTGTACTACAGGTTTCACAGGGGGGGGACAGAGATGGTGGGGCGGTGCAGGACACAAAAAAGAGAAACAAAGTGTAGTGATTGGTGCTGGGGGGGGG